GAGCAACAATCCCGAACCGAAACCACGATCCCAGAAGAGCAAGAGCCCGAGAGAAAACCCGTGTGAATGCACCCCCTTTTCCTGTCAGCCCCAGATAATATGCTAAACATGACAGGATATGATATGGAATATCTCATTGGCACATCCAGATGCCAGTTTTGGGCTTTGCTGTTCACTGCGCTTCTCCCTCCCAGTCCTGATGCAGCTGTGAACAGCCAAACACAATGGCCTTGAGCTCCAGCAGCAACTAATAACATCAGTACTTTTATCAATGATGTTCTCAAAGCAAGTCTGAACTGAAACCAAAACACGGCTCTTCTAACTACTGAGAAGAAAATTAACTCTATCCTAGCAAAACCAGGACAACAGGTATAAGGATGAACAAGTTCAGAAGGAGAGGTAGATGTCACTGCTCTAAAACCTGCCCAGCAGGAAAGTGAGGTGCATTTTTGAGTGCTAGTTAACACACACGTGCACATATTCCACATAGTTTGAAGAAACGAAAAAAAAAAAAAAAAAAAAAAGGCCAGATAATCACTCCTCTCCCCCAATTTTCAACAGATCAGCCCTCCACCAACACCCAGAGTCATGCCACCTCACTCTGTGACAGTAAATAGTTTGATGTAGTTACTCCCCTTTGCCTTCCCCTTATGGTACCATCAAGTTTCTTCTGAAGCCAATTTAACTGTAAGGAGTGAGCGTGATTTACTCCATTCTGAGAACTTTCAAAACTGTACCTGCAATTACACTTACAGAAACATTGATTTTGGAATGGCATCAAGTTCTTAAAACAAAACAAAATACACAATGTGGGGAATTAAAGCTCCTCTGAAAAGTAGGGCATGCATTACTGTTGGAGATGATGATCGCTCTGCTAGATAAAACAAAGTTTGTTTTTCAGATTCCAGATCAAGTCTGAAATTTTTCCTTATTTGTACACTGAGAGAGCATCTGACACAACACCAATATCAAATAAGAAAGTACTGTTACTAACAGGTTAACAATAAAGTCCCACTTTAGTGAAAAGTCCATCTTAAAAAAAAAAAAAAAGTTGGGTAGAATTCTTAGTTTTACTATCCAGATCTTATAACTCAGAAAAATGAAACGTAAGAATAAAGCACACAGACAAGAACAGGTAACAGAAAAGGACAAACGTTTACTTATGAAACTATTTTGCACATATGATTTAGTAACATACTACTATACTAATAAAAAATCTTGAAACGTTCAGAAGTTCTGCTTCTGGTGGCCTGTTTGAGAATTGCAAGACCACACTTTTACTAGTCCTGATTTAAGATAAAGTACCTGAAGTTTTAAATTTTGTAAAACAAACTTTATGTAAATGAAATTTTAAATATTTTACTGTTTACAGAACTGTCATCTGAGAATGAGATGAGCTGATGTTTAGGTTATGTCAGTTCTTAGGAGAATTTTCATTATAAAACTTTGTGAAATGTTAATATACCACTGCTCTCCAATAAAAGAAAGTTCTTTCTTTCTCCCAAAAACTAGATGGAAATGTAAAAATGTATAAAATACACCAAAGGCTTAAACCAAATAACAAAAGCCACAATACCTTCCCTCAACAAAACACAAAATGTTAAGAATGGTTAAGACATGATCCTTATTCCTGCTACAGGGTGCTGCAAGAAGACAGAAGCTGTTATCAAGATACTGCCATGAAAAAGACTGGAAAGAATTCTCATTTTTAACAGTTTGATCTCCTCCTAATGGGTATCTGAAATTATTCAGGCTCTGAGGACACACAATAATACATCTGCTATTCTTGGAATGGTATTACCATACCCTGCAAAAGACCTGTTGCAACATCAGCTTAAAACTTTCATCAAAACTGGCTCTCAAATGGTCTGAATGAAAACAAAGATGCACAGGACTAGCAGGTGAAGAAATATTTGATAAGGCAGATAAATAAACCCTGATGAAGGAAAGAATTTGACTTTCATATAGTAGAGACAGAAAAGAAGAAATAGATACACATGGGCATGATCACAAACAAAGATATTGTACTAATTTAGCATATTAAAATAGTATAATTCAAAACTGAAACCCATATTTTCTTTTAGAAATACTGTATACTTACAGTTTGAGATTTCTTCTTTTTCTTTTTTATTGCCCTGAAAAAACCTTGCTTTTCTTTCTCCTTGAACTGTTCTGAGTGACTGTTAAGGTTTTCAGGACTTTTCCTAAACATGAAATAAGGTATTGTAAGAGAGATTTTATTTTGATATTATGAAAATTCTGTGTAATAATGAGATCTTATGCCAAAGAATGCCAGTTATTGACTAAAGCAAAAAGATTCTTAATGTTTTAGCATTCATTGGTTCAAGGGTTATTATGCAAATACTGGATAAATAGTCTTTTTAAATGGGATAGGAAGAACACAGTGTTAGGGTATAATGTTTAGCTCAAACCAGTCAATAGTTATTTAGGGAAAAGGAAAGCATGCATGTCTTTTTTAAGTCAGAATTTAATATGCAAACCAAAATATCACATACAAGGTCTTTTAGAAAAATGAAAATAATTATCTGAGAGAAGATACAAATGGTGATGAGGTATAAAAGCACAGGTCCAGTTTATCCGTTGCTTGCTGGAGAACCAGAAGTTGCAAAATTCACCAGAGAACCAATTTCAATCGAACTTCCTGACATGGTTCCAAATTTATCACCAGGGGAGCTGGGGATCTACTGTTGTCCATTCCAACTTAAAACCTTCAGTTAGTTTGTTATGCGTGGGTGAGACAGTGCTGGCAAAAGATGACCCGAAAGTGGAACAGGTGACTTGCCTGAAGGCCGAATTTCCACCTTTTAACTTGTGTACACAGCTGAATTAACTACAGCTGTAAATAATGTTACTTTAAGTATACACAGTAAACTATGTACATAAAGTAACTGATATGGGGTAAAAAGATGGTTTATGTAGGACACTGGTGAGACATAACTGAACGCAGTTCTAGTGCCCTTTGAAAAAGTTTGAAAATTGGAAGTGGTACAGGAGAGTGTCACAGCAATAATTTCAGAGATAGAAAGAATAGCATACATTAAAAGAGTCAGAGATTTCAGCCTCTTTAGCATGTTAAAAAACACATCCAAACCCGCCCCAACATTTAGTTTCCTTGATTGCAGCGCACAAGTACTTGTCCAGGAATAAATTACAGAGTACTAGAAGGGTCTTTAAAGTAAAGAGCAACAACATCACAAGAGGAAGCAGGTGGACAATGAAGCCAGAGAAGTCATATTTGAAATAAGGCACTGATTTTAACAAATAATTAACTGCCAGAACAAACTCCTTAGTGAAAGAAGTGGATTTCCATTCTTCGACATTTCAAATCTGGGAGACACACATTAGTCAGATACGCTACTGGGCCTGGACCCCAGAGAACGGATGACATCTAATGGCAACTAACATACAGAAAATCATATGGGGTGATTCAGCAGTCCTTTTTCAGTCTTAAGTTGTATGAAAACAAAAATGAAATTACTCCATTGTCTTGATGAAAAACCTAAAGGAAAGCCACAGTTATAAGGGCTCTGGATGACAAACAGGAGCAGCTTTTCTTGGAGTAATGGTAATGTAGCAATACTTAGCTGTCTGCTATAGTTATCTCTGGCTTCTAATTCTGGCTTTAAATGCTATACTATCAGCTGATGCTTCAGCTGCTACCATGTACCAAGCTGACATTTTTTCCAAGCAAATGTGAAACACATAATTGGGGTAGGAACCACTGGAGTCATCCTCCTTATTGATGAGTATCTCCACTCTGACAGGTGGTTTCATCAGTTCCTCAATTTCTACACAAAACTGCCTCAAGCTTGAAATGCTACCTGGTTCTAAATATAAATGCATGCAACGTTGAAATGCTGTAATAAAGTGCAATTGTTGAGTAAGAGAACATGCTTAGAAGAAAGATTTATCAGCAAAGATGATGATGGTGGAAATTTTCCCAATTTTGATTTTTGGAACTTACATCTAGATCCAGGAAACACACGCAGGTGCATAACAGTATAGATTTAACATGAAAATTACACTGCTACAGGAAAAATCTCTCGTTTAATTTAATTACTAGATTTATAACACATTTTAAATATACTGGATTGCTAAGGATTCCTGTTTCTGTCATGTTCCTGTATTTGGTACCACTGTGTAACAGCAGTAAGGCAGTCTTGTATTAGTCACTTAAAGCACCAAGGAGAAAGCCCAAGAGTAAAGACTACTGACAGCTTTACAGATTCAGTGAACTCACAAGACACTTAACACAGAAAATACCTACCAAATTATTTATTAAATTATTTTTACTTAATTTGTTAGAAAAGTTGGAGGAAAGCACGCACCCAAAGTATCCTGCTTGTACTCTGAAAGTCATGTGAATGGGGCTGAGAATCTTCTGAGCCTTTCCCCAAAGGAGCTACTGTGCATCCACATCAGCAAACATACCCCAAACCAGAGTCCTAGTACAAACTACCAACTCAGTGACTATGCTGCCTGCTGAGGAACCAGTATCAGGTCATAAGGAAGTCCTCATGTGGTTACTCTACACTGTCCTTTCAAATTTTTCAATGTCTGGCTATGGCTTTTCTGTCTGTCAAATTTTATGGAAAATTTGTCCATTTTCCAAAATGGAGATGCTGTATTTTTAAAGGTTAACTTAATCTTCAGAATAAAGCTTGGGACAATTTTTGCCAAACTTTGACAGACACTCACTTGTATAAACTCTTTTTTTTGGCCCAGTGAACCTGGATGAGAAAACTGCTCCCTACAGCAGATGAGCAGAGAAATTCTGCACCATCATTTCCCCTTTAATAATGACTATAGTGACCAGACATAGGAGAAAAATAGGGGCCAAGAACTCTGCTTATTTTCAATTGCTGCTTACCCAAAGCCAGTGTTTTTACACTGACTGGTTTATGTCATTGACTCCTATGACTCATATTGCAGTACATTTGTCTGAAAAAGCACTGACCTTGAAAAGCAACTGCTTCAAAACACATGCTCATTATGTGAAGAGAGTGAACATATATAGCATTATAGCAGGAAGCTTCAACACCAGGATTTTGTACTGAGTAAAAATAGAGCAGAACATTTTGATCGATGAGATGAAACACCGGGATATTTTAGGCATCCCTAAAGATTATTTTCCAACAATGGACAGACAGTACAGGAAAAAATTAGGATTATCAGAAAAAATCTGTACGATATAGTCACTCAAAACTAAACTCTTACAATATAAGTGCAAGTATCGTGGTATTTTGCATAAAGCTTCAGCTCTTGAAAGCAAACAGTAACACCAGAATCTGTTATGCAGTGTCTCTTTTACTAGGAAGTAAGAGTAGCCCTAGAGAAGAGCCTCTACTCAGAGAGCTCACTCCTCAAGCAGAAACTAAAGGCAAAACGTACTGTTCTTTGTTAATTTATCTTTGTGTGCCTTTTGCATGCTTAGGACATATAATGGAGATCACACTGGTTATTCTGGACTGCAGCATTTTGGAAAAAGCATAAGTATAAACAGAAATTATGTGATTATCACTAGCATTTATTGTACGTGTGCAGGAAAGATATCCAACTTCATGCAGGTACAATGAGGTGTCACAGCAAATACGAATAGGGCAAGCAAGCTGATGTGCTTTAATATTAACTAAAAAGAATAAATATTAAGCATGCTGCATTGATGCTGCCATAGATAGATTCATATTGCAGACAGCTCTTTTTGGGAGGTAATTCCTCATGCTTGGTTCAGTTACTCTTCAGCAACCCTCATCTCAGCAGGCAGCCTGGCCTGGAAATCCTCTTTGACTGCCAGTACACTACTCCCTTTACTGAACTGCTCACAATTACATGAGGAAGGATTTTGGTCTAATGGAGGAGTCTGAAGTTTTCTTCAGAAGACAAATGAACAAACACTAAGTCTCCAAGCTGGCTCTTGGTTTTGCTTAAAGTAAAACCCTTGGCAGTTACAGAGTTACCATAAACGGAGGCAAGAAAATGTCAGAAACTAGTGAAGCACCTCAAATAGATGGTTTACTTAAGGTAAGAATCTCAGTCCCGCAAGCTGAAGCCCATAGTAAAGTTGCTTGGTCTAAAAGCCTGGCATTGAAAGTTTAAAAATCAGAGATCAAATCTGAACTTTGCTTGGAGCTGCAAATATTTTTTTTCATGTGGAAAAGGAGGATTTATTAAATGGAATAAAACCCAGATCTACTATCTTATAACGAAGAGTACCCCCCAGAAGCCACTAGATCGCCTGAGGTTATGGCATCACTAAAAAAAGTATACATATATATATATATATATATATGTATGTGGGCATATATATACACACACGTATGTTTGACACACCTCCATCCCCAGTACCATTCATAACACTGGCAACCATAACAACTCATTGCAGCCTGTAACATCCTCACAAGGGGAAGAGGAGGGGCAGGTGCTGATCTCTTCTCTGGTGACCAATGATAGGACCAGGGGAAATGGCAGGGGAAGATGTGCCAGAGGAGGATTAGGTTGGCCATTAGGAAAAGGTTCTTCACCCAGAGGGTGGTGGAGCACTGGAACAGGCTCCCCAGGGAGGTTGTCATGGCACCAAGCCTGACAATATTCCAGAAGCATTTGGACAAGGCCCTCAGACACATGGTCTGAATCTTGGGATTGTCCTATGCTAGGGTAAGAGTTGGACTCGATGATCCTTGTGGGTCCCTTCCAACTCACAACATTCTATGATTCTATGATACAGCGATATTATAGCCAGTTATGTCATGTTTACAAAATACTGTATTATTTTGGAGTCTTGAAAATTAATAGATAAATGTAAGCCTTTGACACTCCTAAGAGTAGGATGGGGTTTTTTGTTCTTTCCTTGAATGACAGTTTGTGTATATGTATTATATAAATATAAAAATAATAATAAATATTATATTTCCCCTTTTTATTGTTTTTGCAGGAAGGTATGACACGTGCTAGAGAAGATAAGACAAGCTGTTTGTCATAGTATGTGAATACATTTAAATGGAAATAAAAGGTCTAAATAACAAAGCTTTCCAGAAGCCCCCAGATACTTTGTAAGCAATCAATGGAAACACTTCCAATAAGACATGAGATAAAGTACTGCATGTTGGAGTTTATTCCAAGAGATAGAACTATAATAATGGTAAAGATGACTCAGGCCAACATTTTGGCACACTGGCAGAACCAGGTTAAGCATCTTGCCTACACCTACTGATTTTGCCCATCTCAAGACAAAGCTCGTACAAGTGAAAGAATAAAACATCTACTCTTGAATCAAAAAAGAAAAAATTATCAAGTTCGAGGTCATTTACAGGAAATTAAACACTGGCAAAGAAAAGATTTTCTGGAAGGATGAAAAATTTGCCTTTTTTCAAATCAAGTTGTCTGAAATTCAGAAATTATTTAGTAATTTAAGAGTAAAACCTGATGACAAAAGTAGAGTTTATAACATCTTTATTTTTAAAGAGGCAGGACAGTGGGGACAGAGTGAAGGAATGCACACAAAGACAAGGGAACATCTGTGACAATTCATTCTATCAAACATTCACAAAATCTTTGACAGAAGAAAGGCAACACAGAGCAGCATTATGAGAGAAGCAGTATTTTACAGTAGTGGCAAGTCCAGGTGGAATACATGTCACTTGTAATTTGAGATGAATTGTCATGTAGCAGTTACGTACGTCAGTCAAACATCAAATATTTACTTCATCATAAAATTGATGCAAGCAGAATCATATTCCATTAGAGCTTTCAATATTTTTGTAAGCGTTTACACAACTTCTATGCAGAAAATTAAGTAGAGGAACACAGACTCTACATCACTCAGGAATCTGCTTAAGCTGCATTTATGGCACAGAACAATTTTGCAACAACATTAGACCATTGCCAGGACAACTTGCACAGAGTTAACATGTAGAGCTGGGCAGGAAACATTTCAGGAAAATAGGGAGTAGGAAAAGCAAAGAGAAAGTGAAATGCATGCCAAAATAGCAGTAACTTGGTGTTGTAAGCACTGCTATTCCTCCCATTTCACAAGGAGAAATGGTTATTCTTCTGTGGGTTCTTCTCTCAAAGGAGCTGTTCCACTTTGTGAAAGTATTTGAGTACATTAATTGGAGCAAGGATTTAAATCTAACTATCTCAAAGTTAATGAAGGGCCTTATTCACTAGGACATTATTCAGCATCTCTGTGGTCCTTTCACTATTTCAACAAGAAGAAACAGCTTCAAGAGAATATATTGAGGGAAACAGAGAATGTGCTCCAGAATAACATCTAACTTCTAGTTCAGGGCATTCACTTGTTAAAAGATTTAAGATCTTGGTTCAGTCCTCTGATTTAAATAACAAAGGCCCTGCACTCTTGTTCCTCACATTACAAAAATTAATGCCAACCCCAAAATATGTATTATTTTGAGAGTATCTCTGGTTTTGACTGGCAATTCTATCCTGCAACTGAAGAAACTTTGCAATAAAAGGTTAGTGGTTATCAGTCTGTTCCTTTGAAAAGTTTTGGTTTCACTAATTTGGCACTGTAAGCAAAAAATGAATTTAATCAAAAAGTTCCCAACCAGCTCTAATAACATATGCTATTATTTCAGTTCAGAGTGAAAATAACATTACATGTTTCTTTGCAGTGACCACATAATAAAAAGTAATATATTGCCAAATGATATATAAAGCAAAACAAGATTCCAGCTGGCTTATATTATATGCAAGATAGAAAGATTCTGATATTAAGGACAACAAAATATGTAAAAAAGTTCAACAGTAGGAATAAATATCTTCTTTAGCCACATAAGTCAATGTGAGTACCACCTTTTTACATAAATGAGTGGATTCCTCAGCTAACTTCCACAAAATGGATGTAGGTAGAGCTACTGAAGGACAGGAAGCAGACTCTAGTGAATCAGAGCAGGTGACAAAGGTTCTGGAGTAAACATTGTCTATTACTGAACACAAGCTGAAATACCAGTTGTTTCCCTTCCCCACCCCCTCCACCCCCTTTCTTTTTTAAGCAGACAATTCACAGGTTGTTCACGTGAAAATACATTAAGTCAACAAACCACTGAAACAGTTCTCCATCACACTTTCAGAGAGCAGTGTTTCAGATAATAGTATGAAGCACAATTGAACATGCGAATGCATACAGTCCATTCCTCCCACCAGTCCTCTGAAGCTCCATTTGCTTATTTTTAATTCAGTGTACTTTACTGTGATTCAACAAAGTAGAAGTTTAAGAGTATTTTAGAGCTGAAGAGCTCTGAGAACAACAAAATTAAGATATTTCCCTTTAAGTCCTGAAAAGCTATGCATATGTTGTCTTTCTATGAGCATAATTATAGTTAATTGTTCTATGTTATATAATGGAGCCATGTGATGCTTTTAATCTTTTAAAATCAATATACACCATTAAGATGTTGCTTAGTCCATTTTCCCATAGAACATACTCATTTCCTTCTGTGGTGAGTAAGCAAAAAAAGCAGCAGTCCCCATTGTAGGGTGAATATTATATTCTTCATTAATACAGTCCTATTTTATATATGGAAACATGCATTTTGGTATTTTTTCTGTTTGTCTGACAATTCATGCTTCTGGAATCCACAGATGAAGCTACAGCCTTGCTATCCATGCAATATGCATACAAGCACTTTGTATTATCTTTAACCGAAGATTAATAGTGGGAAAAAAATCAGGAAAGACTGGACAAAAGTATATTATCTTTAATAAGTCAGTGTGATGGCGTAAGGAAGTACTGCCGGTTGCTCAAAAGGGGACAGCAAACATGCAACGCTATGTCAGTATAGTCAGAGAAAGCAACTAAGCACATGTTGACAACTGCAAATTTTGGAAAAAAAGTGGGGTTTCCCCCCCCCTCCTGTTAAAAATCCCTTTTTCCCCTGCCATTCTCTACACATCTGTGTAAATAACAACTCACCAAGTGTCAAAGGTGGTTTGTCTCTTTGAGTGGTTGGCCACCGTGCCGCTGTCTGCCGGTAACACAGAGGCTCTGTTTGACACGTTGTTTTCTATGTACGTGCTCTCTGGACGTGGAGACGGAACTGAACAGAGAAACAGCAAACAGTGTATACTGAGCTCTGCCAAAAATCACATCTTTCTGTTGTCTGCTCCCTCCCTATGGCTTTTACAGAAACAAGACAGTGAAGACAGTTGTACTTTATGTATGACTAAAAAAAAGGTATACGTTTTTTACAGTTTTGAAAGCTGTTGTTTTGTGATACCCGTAAGGTAATATTACTCATAACATTTGACCATCATCGGAACTTGGGGAAGTTGTTATTAGATTTGAGAACACTTCTGTCTGTAGGGAGTCACAAGTGGGATCGATATTTAAAAACAGGAAACAGAAAAAAATGTTGGAATACTCTTATTAAAGCCACAAAAGGACTACAATTTACACTTTGTCTTCACTTAGAACTTAAAAAAATAGTACCCATCCTGAAAAAATTTATTTTGGATTTTAATATAACAAAGAGTGAGGGACTACTCACTAAAAATGAAAGGATCAAAATCAGATTTTATCTATTTTTCAAACAGACATACTGTGGTTTTGAAAATAGGTTATATATACCTACAATATATATTTATTAGAATTCTGAATATCGACAGAAATACTTGCATTGGATTAAAAATTGATCAGACCCTAGTTGCAGCATTACCTCAGCATCACACTATACCATGTATCAAAATTGAATCTGTAAGTTTATGTTCAAGCTATAGTACATAAGTACATGCTAATAACATTTGTATTAAGTCAAGTACTTAAGAAATGCATAAATATGAATTTACTTTTTTCCTAGTAACTTTTTCTTTCAAGAGTTGTTGCATATACTATTATGTATGTATTACTTAAACGTAGTATCATTTTTCCAATGCAATAATTACGTCAATAATTTAGTTCACAACAAAATATATTTGTTTCATAGATAAAATTAATGAGGAAAAAACACTCTAGTTTATAATAAGGAATTGAATGCAACCCCAGACCTACAGTTTCCTTAGCACATGACTTATGGAAGGTCATTCTTCCTTGGAATCTCTGTTTCACTATGTATAAAAAAAGAAGGATAAACCATGTCCAATTTTAGGAGTGTTTTAAGGATTAATAAAAGCAATTCAGGCCTAAGGATTCTTAAGGATTGCCTGTTGCATGTACTACAAAACCTTACACTCAAAAGCATTGCTCAAGACAGGACAAGCTTTAATATTGCTCATAGGTTTTAATATTGCAATGGGACATTTGCAAGGATTGGCAGATTTTAACATGTCTAAATCAGGTCATCAGTCAACTGATCAACCTGAAGAGGGATAAGAGGGAGATCTGTGATTCTACTTAAGGTTATTAGGTGACTCATAATCGAATTTTAGCTGATTGGGACTTCTTAAGGTTCAGAGGAGCCCCACACGCCTCCTAACACTTGCAGGACAGTAATTAGTTTCTTATCATCCTTGTCTTTTTCAAAAGGATTACCCAGGTTTAGCCATGAGGCAGCTGCTCCAAAATCACCATCTTTTGTGTACCATAATAGAACAATATCTATCTGTGTGTGTATATGTACATATATAAATATACACATGCACACATATACATACATATATACGCACATACACAGTCCTGTGTTACTATTTATTCTGAACTAGGATTATGTAAATGTGCTTTTGCTTGTAGGAAACCTCGATCTTTAAGTCTGAACAAAAGACATTAATACAGATTTCGAGTAATTAAAAACTAACATTACAGTTCCGTGCACCACAGTATCTGAAATAGATCAGCAAGTGTGTCAATGTCTTACAAGTACAAAGGTGTTTAGATATAATGTTAATAAGAACTTAGAATACAAATTAAAAACATTAATGAACTGTTTACTTGGGTAATATTAATTTATTTGTGCAAATCTCCCCAATAAATTATCTTCTGCTTTACAAAGTACTGCACTGGATATACTTTTCAATCAAAGTGAGTTATCATCTGCAAATAGATAATATGATACTAATACAGGTAATGCACAGAACTAAGCAGGGCAACCCAGTCTCTGAAAGTGGGGTAACAGTTCTTTTTCCAATAAGTTTTTTTACTTTTTCATGGCAGTTCTCTGTATCCATTTCCACTACTTTATTTATCTTCCATGTTAAGATTCTTGTTTAATTTTGAAAGATCCACCATAAAATTACCTCTGTAAAAGCTGCCAACTCTTCTCGGAACAGGGTCATTATACAGAATTCTATTTTCCTTAGTAGATGCTCCATCTTCTGTGTGTGGATCATGATATGCTCCACTCTAAACAAAAGAACAATCAACTATTTAAAATGAAAGACTACAAACAGATTTGCAGTTTTTAAACAACGTACATAAGCAAGAAACCCAGATCTTAACCACACACAATTCTCCTTTCATGTTATTAATAACTGCCAATATCAAATCAGACTATGCAATCAATAATTATTTAGTTTTGCTTTTTCCAAAATGGCATTAACAAAATTTTGCTTCTTAGTTGCAATTTTAAAAACTTGAACATGATTCAGACTCTCAGATTTTTGCTGTAAAATGCAATTGTAACATCTCTGAAGGAATATTTTACTGGAGGCCTTGTTAAATTAATTTCTGATAAAATCTGGTCACTGTGCTACTGGCAAATTTTAAAAAGCAAAGAGGAAACACATAATTTGTGATAATTGCAACACCAAATCACTATCACTTATCAGCTGTTACACAGTAGCACCTGGAGGTACCAACAGTCACAAAATCTACTGTATGCAAAATAAAAGGTAATCCCTGAACTAAGAAATCTTTAAGTTAAGTAGTTAAGTCAGGACAGCAAAAAGAGTATCATTACCTCTAATTTACTGTATTTTCCTGAATACAATACTACCTGGAAGGTAATTCAAGCAAAAGCTTAAGTACACCCTTAGAAACATCCATATGCATGTAACTGGCCACCAAATATGCCTTAACTCCACTCTTAAATGAACCAGGTGCTGCAATTTTTCCCACAGTACGGACTGACCAGATCAAATTCAATGTTCCCTACAAGACCCCGCAGGAAACTGTACTGAAACTCATATAGGAATTTAAATCTAGAATGTCCAAGAAGGACAATGGTTAAAAAACCCAACCAGAATTAAAAACTGGGATTTCAGTTCACTATATAAGTGATTTTCAAAGTCTGTTTTGCCTTTTATTAATGAAGATTTGGCTTCACTGTCAAGGATAAGAACAACCCTTGAAACTGTGCCAAGACAAGAAATGGAACTAAAACAATGCTTTAAATCACAGTTTGAGTCTTCTAAAATTTACGAGAGGCTGAAGCATTTGGTTATATTACTACTCTTATTTAAAATATCCCTTCTTTGTCAGCATTTAAGTTACAAATATGAGACAGTAATAGCAAATTGTACTTGATTTTCTTCTGCTTGCCCCCTTTTGTGTATGTTTAGTTTAAAATAAAAAAGAACCCTTAAAAAAAAAGTGTTGTACTGAGACTTGAAAAGCCCCCAAACTAACACTGAATGTGAGTCTTTTAAAAAATTTTTTTAAGTAAGATTTAAAGCCTGGCAAACAGAGAATGTTTTCCTTTAAAAAGACTTGTTAGAGCTAAAGAGAAAATCAATGAGAAACTAGAAACATGGAAGTAAGGAAACTTCACAAAACATGAGGTGAAAGAGAGAACCAGAACATCGGAGTGAAAAAAAATTGTAGGAAAACAATAAAGAATCTTTGAAAACACGTTATTCCTCATTTTTTCAGTTCGGTAATCCTGAGGGAAGTCAACTTTTCTGATTTCTAGTGGAGAATGTAGGAAAAAAAAAAAAAGGAGGGGAAGGGGGCGACAGGGATAGGAAGGAGCCAAAGAATGACTTTGTTGTGAAAACGCCTTTACAAGGCATAAGAAGATTGACAATTTAATTCTGATTTGTTATTGAAAGTAGTATAAACAAATAAAACCAGCTTTGTGAATTTACAGACTTGCCATCCATTTCAGAAGATTATTTTTCCTTTCAGACTACTGATGATTGAAACATAGATTTAAAGGTATTGATTGAAAGCTTATGTTTAAAAACATTGACCATTAAGAGAAAAAGGCAAGTTCTTTGCAAATAATTAGGCATTCCAAAGCAAACTAAAATGAACAAAAACATAACCATTAAGATATGCATCAATTTTTCTAATTAAAATAAAAATTTGTCAATCAATTGTCAAAAGACAAAGAATGATTAATAAAAACAATCTGCCTCTACATAATATGAAATAAAATTAAAATTATTTATTAAATTAATATCTGCTACATAATGCAGAAAAAGATCCTAATGGTCCGCAAAATACAAGATAGCACGAGCTTTTATTAGCAAAAACTCAAATGCTGGTGTTATTGCCCTTCTACAGTAACATCCTGAAGTCACATTTAACTTGACTGAAATGAGAGAGATAGAGAGAAAAGATGACTACATAAAGAAAAAAAACCCACTGGTTTTGAAATGGAGCTGCAGTAAGCCCTTCTAAGTGGCTTAAAAAAAAAAAAAATTGTATTTCTCCTATTTTGATGAGATCTTTTCTGATGTGTGAATACACATAATCCTAAAATGGAGGAGATGTGCTAAGTATGAAAAAAATGTATTATGCCTTTTTTTTCCCTACTGAAGAGGCAACCACTACCTGAAAACTCTTTTTTATGGTACTTATAGACCACTATCAAGTCAGCTATACATATTTCTTACATAAATGAAGTAGGCAGAGTTTTCTAGTCTCCCACAGTAAAGTATAATTTTTAGATCTTAAATAATATTTGCAGGTCTTTGACTTCCTTCAATTTGTCAACAAATCTGAACTAGATGTTCTCTCCTGAGAAGTTACTTTATCACAGACGTATGTATAGAGAAACAAAACACTCATTTTCATACTTCTCTCTGCACCATTTTGCTCCAGTTTGGATCAGTGGTATAGCAATTTAAAGATCTGGGGACAAATGCATTCGTCTTTACACATCTGATGTGTAAAACACCAGATAATTCAGAAGTGTTATGTAAGGAATGAAAATCAACACCAGAACTACCCTTCCTCTACTCATTAAGTAATGCTTATAGTAGAACACAACAAGGTATCTAGTGGCAGTAATTACTGTGGAGGAGTAAATTTACCAGTGGCTTCTTCAACATAAATCTAGACTACCCAAGTTATTTATCATACTAATCAAGAGAAATATTTCAAGTTTTGATATTCGTCTAGTAAAGTACGTCATTTCAGCAATAATGTCCTGCTATAAGTGAGTGAAAAGCTCACTTCAAAAACTAACATTAGCACTCATAACAGAAAGACATACAAGAAAGGCTAAATAAAAACACAAATGAGAAGGTTAATTGCACAAAACAATATGATAAAAATGGTATCAGACAATATAACCAAAGACTAGGAACCACTAATAAAATTTTAACTTCAGAGACAAGTTTTTCTGTTCTCGCATTTCAGTACTTCTAAGATAAAAGTATTCATAGTCCATTTTTAAAAATTATCTTTTAAATAGCCTCTCACTTTGCACTTGGAAAAAAACCCCAAATCCCTGGCTTTACAACAAGACAAATAATTATGCAAACAAACAGAAGACAGAAAGCAGGACACTGTCCCCCCATGAAACAGAGGAAGGTAAACCTTCCATAATAGGCAATATTTTTAACTAACCCTATTAGTATCTTCTGTACAGTCTTCTCGTGACGAGCCAACAGATCTTGTGAGTGACTTATGCTGCACCTGTGGAGATAACAGTTGCAGGCTGTTTGCTCTGGCTGCCATCCCTTGCCCTATGCTTAAGCCACCCTCTGAGCCCTTTGACCTCACTCTGTCCCGGCTCACATACATAGAGTGTCTATGAGGGCGCTGCTGTGAAGAAAAAGGACTGGTATAACCTAGACCATAGGAAAAAGATTCATGTGGAGCAGATAGAGAGTGGGAATGGCTTCCATCCATGTGATCTGGCAGTTTTAGCTCCTCCATTGTTTTGGAGTGTCTTGTTGATGGTCTTCGGGTATCCAGGGTACCCTCGCTGCGGTTATTCCTCCCAGATGGACTGAGCAAAGTTCTGTTATCGCTGTGTCGGGGAGCAGATGGACTGGTAGGAGAGTTCAAGTCCATGCAGCTGGATGGAAAATACCTACTGCTGTTTGGTTCTGCAGCTTGGGCCCTGGCCTCAGAAAGGTTGCCCACGGATTTCGAGTCTGTCAGAACGCCATGGCTCTTTGACTTTGTCCGATATGAAGGACTCTTAGAAGACTGTGGGATAGTATCAATATAGCTGTGGCGACTGTGCTTATCGCCGGGTTGCAGTGTCCCAGTTTTGCTCTGAGAAGTTTCCATAAACGAGTGCCGGTTCTGCTGAGATCTGGTGTTAGACTTCAGGTACTTTGTGCCTGAACCATCAGAACTTTTTGGGTCCACATTAAAATCAAATTCTGTTTTTGCCTTTGTTTCCTTTGGGCTGAGAAGATGTGGCATGTTATTATTGGCTAGGTCCTTGTTGCCAGATCCAGGAGTGTTGCTTGATTTTTTTGTATGCATTGGACTAGGTGCAGCTCCAGGAAGGTTTCCATTTAAAAAGCTTTCATTTGCTGGAAGACCCTCTTCTCTTGGCCCGCCAACCCCCAGTGTCTGTATATCCTTGCTGTTTGATCTGTGGTGTGACTGCAAAGCAGAACTTTTGCTGGCTTGATTTCTACATTAAAATGCATAAAGAAGCATTAATATACCAGATTACATATTCACGCATTAATAACTTCAACAAAAGTACACTCATTTCAGAAGGAAGTTGCCATTTAAAACCACAAAATTTAACTGCAGTAAGATCAAAAACTGCCAACTAGGCATTGGAAGATCCACTAAAATACCAGATTTGCAAGCATTAGTACATTGTTGTTTCTTTCTGGTTATATCCTGATGGACAAACTCAGCTTTGGTTAATGGATTTTGCTGACAAAAAAAAATGAAGATATAAAATCCAATCATAGAAATTCCAACATATATTTACACATTTATGCATGTGTGAGAGTAATACATGTGCACATTGATAATGTAAGCATGACATTATGAAAATTAGCTGTGTATCCATTGGAAAAAAGTCTTGAATACACCTGACATATCAAAGTGAAGGTAGAACAAAATAAAATATGTCTGTACTGTCAAAAAGCCCCAATACAATAAATGCTCCAGGCCATCTAATGTATGCTGGAGTTGGAGTGGGAGGGGAAGGGATAGGAGGGAGGGAAAAAAGAGATATTGTGCTGGTAAAGACATCCAGATAGATTGAGCCTGAGCTCTGTGCAGCAGAGGAAGCCCTGTAACACCAAACCCAAAACTGGGTCTACCACAGGAACTCCAATTTCTGTGGAACTTGGCACTATCCCAGTTCTTGGCACACTAACTCATCCCCAAGGCTGTACCCAAAATGCTCTGTAACCAGACTGACTTGGTGCAGAGCTACTTGGTAATGTCCTTAACCTCTACTCTGCTTTCCAGCTCTCCTAGTTTTGGGATTACAAGACTGATATGAGTTGGTTCTGCAAACACTCAGCCTGAATTTATTTGAGTAGGATTTATTATCTCAAATTCTATGACATAAAACCAGTTCTGCTTCTGGACTTATGCTGGCATTGCAAACTAGCTGTGACTGAGCAGTGCTGCAGCTGTACTTGTTAGCCTTGATGGACCTAGGTGGGCTATGAGCAGTTTACCCACTTTCAGAGATCTAACTATGTACTCTATTACAGTTTCTAGAAATTTAGCAATTTCAATGCATTTAAAATATTTTTTAGTTAAAAGGACGTATATTTTTTAAAAACTTAAGAGATGTAAGGAACCTAGTAATTTTAAATCAAGCAGCTAGGCAAGTCATTGCATTAGACAAATTTCCCATGGATCTAGGTTTTCCTTTCTAATGGCACACCTCTAAGGGTAAAACTTCTATCCTAAATATCTATAAGGGCAACTAAAACTTTTTGGTGTCTATCTTTGAAAAAGTATAGATTTTAAATGTCATAATCCCAAATCTTAAAACGAGGAGTAATTTTTCTGAATCTCACAGGAAGAGCTAAAAAAACCCCATGGTTAGGACTGAAAGCCATTATCATTCTGCATACTTCAGAGGGTGACCTTTAGGAAAGCTTCTGTCAGAGGAATACCATGAGGCTTTTTGTATTGAAATATTTCATCCACCAGTAAACCCGGTTTGTTGATGTATTAAAATCAAGTGGCTTCTCTCAAGCTATGTGGGTCCAACAGGGAGTCACTAAAATAGACTCTGCTTTAAGTTCAAGTCGACTAGATTCATAACTGCAACTGCAGACAAAATTCTATTCATCCCCAATTTGGAGCATGATCAACACACACAATTTTCAGGACACTTAGCTGCTAAAAATCTGTGTGAATTTTGAACTTTCAAATATCAAAACCTTAAGACAGATTTGCACATAACGGTAGCATTCCAAAGAGAAAAGCATTCCTTCAGAATCTCAGACGACTTCCAAGCCACAAAATTCCTACTGTTGTTGAAAAAGGCTAACATTTTTTTTAAGACGGGTAAGCCAACTTATTTTCCTTCGTCATATGGAGAAATGTCTCAAACACTATGCTTGTTTTTTTCAAGAAGCATTCAGCCTGATGCAGAAAGTTAATGAAAATTTCAGCTTGAATAGCTGTAATACTGTAAAACTGTGTCTACTTCCTTTATTCACTCAGGTAACATGGAACAGCATTTATGTGTCCATGTGCCTAAACTGTCAAACGACTACTTTTCTTTACTTGTAGATCATGTTGTATGTAAGCATGATAGCAACTCACTCATTGGCAGAGCAAATGTCAGTGATGACGGTGACGTGACTACCTTTACCTGTTAGATAATGTGTTGCTGTCTACGTGGTAAGGTTTTCTCTTAGCTGACCGCGAAGGTGAGCTTCCACAGCGATCCAAGAGTCTTTGGGTTTGAAACGAAGGGTGGTTCAAACATTGTTCTGTTAAATATCTGTCTGCTGGATCTAACTTCAGTAAGTTCTTTGGAAGACAAATCCCAAAGTTTAAATGTTAGTATCTATATTTGCATCAGCAAAAAAATTTAACAAAATAAAGAACATTATTGGGATAGTTTTTTAATCTTCAGAGTTTCCATGATTAGACTTAACTCCTAGAATAATTTCACGTTGTATTGAACTACACTTGATACAAAATAAACACTTACAAAAACCTATGTTCTACTTAAATGATGGAAGGCCTCAGCCTTGCTTATTATGAAACATATATATGTGCTATATGTATATAATGAATATATATACACATACATATATAGTTTTATAGGTGTGCTTAAAATATGCTTAAAATACAAAAATAACTAAAATTTTAAAAATGTTTTATGCAAATACCTATAAATATTTTAAATATGTGTATTTTAAACATATTTTTCAGGATATACCTTACAACAATGTTGTTTAGAATGAAAACTATTAAATTTACCAGTAATAAAATACTACAATGAAATAGGCTTTACAAACAAACAGAACAAGCATATGGGAACATTCTTAAGACAAAAAACCCCAGTATTTTAAAATGAGTATTTTTAAAAATATATAGAAATATAACAGTTCTGGCTTTTACTTCTAGGGTTCATATTTTTAAAGAATCATCTAAACTCTTTACACTGCACTCAGAATAATTCTGTTCGATCTACTACGATTCTAAACAGAGACACTTTTTGACATGTAGAAAATATTTAATCACAAAATTGAAAACCAGTAGGTTGGGTATTTCGGTAAGTTTGAAAGGTTTCTTGCGGGAACTTATCTTGGAAGATTTGAACATGCATGACTGTAAGCAAGGATAAAAGTTTGAATGGCTACTAAGTGCAAAGAATAGCTATTTTTTGAGGGCTATATAGGTGGAATAGAGAACAACTCTGTGTATATATGCATGTGTCTACACACACACACAATGCTTATCTGCATATGCATTAACGTAGTATTTAGCCACTTGACGTAAACTGGTTTCCCCTTCACAGGATCCCTGTACTTCACAATGGAAAATGCTCAGGAAACAAAGCAAGTGGCAAACTACATTCCTATCTAGTTTGGTCATATAGGATGCAGTAGCTTCCTTTCTCAAGTGACAAACTATGTACTGAATGATTAACTTTTTAGTTCCCCCTTTTTTCTGGTGCTCATCACTACAGTGGTTCAAATGTCCCAAACAAACACAAGAAGGCCACAAGTGATTTCCACATTCCTCCTGAGAAAACAGGATGTTCAGAGGCTTCCCTCAAGCGCCTGTACACTAACTTGAGAAGCCTGGGGCACAAGCAAGGAGTGCTGAAAGTCCATAGGGAATCACAAGGCTATGAATCTGCCTGGAATCATGCAGAAGTAGTGGGACAGGGCTTGTGGCTGAAGGCCTGGTCACTGCTGAGTGGCTTCAGAAAGAATGGAGTGGAGAGGAAGAAGAGTGGCACTCATATAATTGAGTTCCTGGATGGTATCAAATACCAGCATGAAACAGAAGGTATAACCATTACAGTTTCTGGGTGAGAATTAGAAGGGAAAGAAATATTTCTGATGCTATGGTGGGCATTTGCTACCAATTATGCATTGAAAAACATGAAGATGAAAAGGAAAACTCTCTACAAGCATAAGTTTCCCGATCACAGGTCCTCATCCTCATGGTACACTTCAACTATTCAGACATCCAGCCTGTGTAGATGATCCAGGCGATTTCTAGACAATGCTGGTGGCAATTTCCTAGTGCAGCTGCTGGAGAGGCAAATCAGCCAAGGACTTCACTCCACTTGACCTGTGTCTCACCAACAGGAAAGTACTAGTGAGAAATCTGATCGGAGAAAACAATCTGAGCTGTAGCAACCATGAGATGATTACAGCAGGATTCAAAGGGTAAGTGGCAAGATAAACATCAGGGATAGGACCTAGGACTTCAGGAGAGCGAACTTCAGCTTCTATAGGGAATTACTGGGTAGAATCTCCTGAAAAATTGCCATCAGAGTAAGGGTATCCAGGGGAGTAACCTGATTTTTAAAGGTAATTTCTTAAGAGTTCAGGAACAAAGAATCTTATTGTACAGAAGAACACAAAATTTTGCTTAAGGTTAGGTTGGCTAAACAGGGGATTTCCTAATGAACAAGAATGCAAAAAGTATGTAAGAACAAGAGTCAAGGAGACTAAGATACAAAGGAGGACTATAAAATCACTGCTTTTAGCACCAAGGATAGGCCAGTTCGGAAGCCAGCTGGAGCTAAGGCAAGTGAAGAACATCAAAGGTAAAAAGAAGCAGTTCTGCAAGTATTCTAGTAGTAAATGGAAGCTCAGGGAATATCCATGTCTGCTGCTGAACAGGGGAAGACAACTGAATGACAGATGATATGAAAAGGACTGAAATACTCAGTGTCTGCCCAAGTCATCACATGCAAAATTAGCTCCCAGCTCCCAAATGTATGCTTACAAAACAGCATGACTTGTGAAGGAGAGGAGCAACAAAGCAATGGGGCCAAATGGATGCCTCTCCATTAATCTAGTCCAGAAATGCTCTCTAAATAGAGATGTACCAAGAATTCATTACTTTAGCTGACATAAATTGAAGTGTGGGTTATTCAGTAATCTAGTAATCAGACCTGAAGTCCCTGAGAATGCAGATAATGAGGAACACACCAAGCATGGAAATATGCCAGACTGCCCAGAATTTGGAGAAGAGACAGGCATACAGCAAAATATGTGCAGCATTTGTAGCATGAAACTTAACCACAAGTCCTTTTTGTACTCTTCATATATAGTCTTCTGCTCATTCTTCAACAATGTTCCTGAATTAAGTAATGCAGGTCAAACACAAAATATCCC